GATTCATTGGTAGTATTGCTTTAATACTTACGTAAGTGTTCTTCCAATTCTTGTCATTTATATTTCTTAAAAGCAAAAATAGGCAGAAGATATATGTACATATCTGTTTGTATATTTTCCCTGATTCCAATCAGCATTACCAAACATATTCTCAGATGGATGGAATTTTTATACAAATTCATGCAAAAAAATAAACAAACCCATATGCTTTTCTCACTTGTTTGGCATTTTTACAAATTCTTGAGAATATATATGCGCTTACTCTCTGAAATTACCAAATTTTATACGCTTACTCTTTATAATTACCAAATTTTATACGAATACATGCAAAATTATCGAGAATTGTAAACAAATAGAATTAGAGCGAACTGCGCTTATCGGTCTGATCAAACCGATTAATAATTATTCGATGCCTTCATACCCTTGGCGAAAGGGTTTCTAGCTCAGAAAGCCGTCTTAACCCGATGCAATAGAGCTAGTAAGCCGGTGATTGTCGTTTCCGAGTTGTTAGAGTCGATGCGGTATAAACTTCGACTAACACAAGCGGAGATCTGCGATTTAGGTCATTCTTATTTGACGAAACATCGGAAGGTTAATGTAAAGTGATGGCTAGATACACCATAATAATAATAATCATCGTGCTACTCCCAATAAGGGCTCTATAGTCTAAATAGTGGTGGCCGCATTTAAGCGATAGTAGTTTGAATAGTCAGTTCAACGCGAACAACGGTAGTTATAGTAATAGAAAGCAACAAAAGTGCAATTACAGCAGCCGTAGCACATTAACTCATATGCTCTATTGTTCGAAAAAAAATCCGTAAAATAGGTTCGACGACGACAAGTATTTTTCCAGCCCCTACAACCACGGCCGTTGATTTAACATACAAGCAATCATTCTACGATGACAGTACGGCTAAGGCCGATCATCAACTGTGTTCAAATAATTCTCGTCATCATTTTTCGCCACACACACACACACACACCTACACAGGATACGACTCCATCTCTATCTTATGCCTCTTTACAGAATTCAAATCAAAATTTGGTATCTAGCTTAAGTGGTTGCGGTGCCGCGGGAGGACGTAGAGGAGGGAGTGCAGCCCACACCCACTCCCTTAACGACTAATAGTAATTATTTTATACAGAAGATCGAAGGTGATAATAAAAATCCTTCTTATGCTTCTATTGTTTCACTCAGCAATACAATGTTTTAAACTCTATTTAAAGCGTCTCATGTGATTATTGGCCTTCGGGAGTGTGTTAATTGTCCAAACGCAGCGACTCCGAAATTGTGGCTTCCCACGAAACGTTATTTGACAGAATGAATACTCAAAACTTTCGCAAGCGTTTTAACAAGTGTTTATAGTAAATGTAGTCGAAGTAGTAGTAATACTGACATATGGCAACATAAATGTGTAGACGCATACGTATGTTAAGGCAAGTAAATAAATAAATTGGTTACAGCGGTGCATCGTCCCTTAGTTATTATTTGATGTTTGTTTTTTGGTTTATTCCAAGCGCCACCACACCAAGTCCGTATTCGAATTGTGCCAGCACACCCGGTGCGTGTCAAGGTTTTTTTCTAGCGCCTTGAGAGCTACTTCATGGCATATTGCTTGAATTTCCGCACCTGAATAGCCCTCAGTTTCTTTTGCTTAGCGTAGAGATTTCAATGTCATCGTCTAAGGGCAAGATTTCCTTGCGCGCTTTCTCATCTGGCAAACCGACAGACACATTAAAATACCTTGCGGGGTTGTATACATTCTCTTTCTTTGAACGTTATATTAACGTCACTAATTCGCAATGATACCAGCTAACAGCTTTTTTTTTATTTGAAGGCTTTGGTGACATTCTGATCGCTATTTATAGTTAACATTCACGATGAGAGTGTTCTTTTATTCATTCACAATAGGAGAGTTTTTTAACTGCTGTTAAAGGGTTGCCTAAGTATTCTATTTTTCAGAATGTTTAAAAATGTCGATTAGAAAAGTATTCATTGTATCAGGAAACTATCTCAAACGATTATTTAAATGCATTTTATCAATCTGCTTAAAAATACCACACCTTCAGCCCAGACCTCACAAAGCTTAACTTCGAATTCTACTAATAATGTCAGTCAAGGGACTCCATCTAATAACAATGACATATGCATCGATATTACTTTACCAGTACCTTCGTCTGCTGCTACTAGCAGCAACAATGCAGATGCAGTCGACGGCTTAACCGAAACATTTTCACATTTTGTTCCATCTCCGTACCACTGTCAATAAAAGTATTTGAATTGGCAACCCTTTTCAATTCTGGTATTTTTTTTTAATAACCAAGTGTTTTCATATGTACAACGCAAGCTGATAACGGTTTCTGCAAATTACCAGAAATTTGCAAACGTGCATTTCTTTCTCTCTTTCATGCAATCAGTCATTTCAATTTTGACCGCGGATAAAATAAGATCGTCAAGTAAGAAGTAAAATAATTTTTTTTTTTTAATATTTAAAATTTTTTCCAAATTGAATGAATAGGCTTTATTAAAGTCTTAGGAATGTACTTAATGAAGACGTGACGAATTCTCCCAACAAGTGAAAGATATTTGTCATAAAATCATAAAACTAAAAAAAGTATGATTGGAAAGTGACCTAGCTGGTTTGCTGGGTTTGCGAAGTATTCGCGCGTATAAATGTCCATTTTAACTGTCACTAATGTAAGTTTTCATATGCCGTTTCTACTAAAGGAATTGAATAATCAATCACGCTTTTCTAGTCTGAAACGCAACGCATTATCAAAACAACTATAACAAGATTAAGTTTTTTTTTTTTTTTTTTTATATTGAACATTTTCCCTTAATTCTTACCATATATTCGTACAAGTGCTTGAAGTGCTTGAAATATAATATATTTATTTTATTTGAAAGATATCCACTGATTATAAGTACTCGATTTAATATTCCATTCTTGCTGAATAAATGCGGTTAAAGGTGAAGTGGATGAAGAAATGTTGAAAAAACTAGATTAATTAGAAGAGTATCCATATCCAATATTAAGATCGTACCACCTTTTCGAGATGCTGTGCAAGCGTTACCCGTTGTAACCTCGAAGATTACATAATTTTTCGATAAATTTGAATGCGAGGCACGTAAGTTTTTAATACTTATTCTAGCGAATTAATGTCTCTTCTCTTTCGTCAGTGCGATGTGCAGAGTCATTATATAAACAGAGCATCGAATAGTTTTGCAGTTTAAGACAACGGATTAGTTAAGAGTTCCATAGGAAGCCTTAACTTCTATTGTAAACCTAAACCACAAAGATTTGCATATTTTTACACTGATTATCAAGAAACTTCTGTGATGGATAAGTCGAAGGGAAATTAATGGTTCTTACGCTTCGACAAGTTAAAGTTTATCATATAAATAATATAAATAGAAACGTTATTATGGAGAAGTGTTAAATTTCTAATGTTTAGCACAAGACTAGCTACCAAGTACTTCATTTTCATCCTTTACGATTATAAAGCATGTAGCGTTTCAAAATGTTTTGATGACTTTTATTTATATGAAAATATCTTTTACTACTTATAATCAAATTTTTCGTGCATGGTTTAATTGCAGTAGTTCGCTGTATATACACAATTGTATTAAAACTGTTACAAAATGTTTCTAATCAGTTTTCAGATATCAGAACTAATTTTAAAATAAATTGACTGACAATTTTCGCACATCACTGACGGTTTTCCTGCGCGGCGCTGTGCTAATAAAACCTGTCATTTTTTCTTTGTACAGCATTTTTAAACAATAATACTTTTTCTAGCAGACACAAGATGATATAAGCTTTTATCGAAGTAGTAGCTTATGGGATTTCCGAAGTATTTTTCTACTTTTTATAAATGTTTGGCACACACCCGCCCTTTTTTATTTGATTAGATGAAATTTTAGATTTGATTGCAAAGGTTTTCCATTTCATTATCACCATAAAAAATCCATTACCATCATAACGAAACACAATGTTAACAAGTGCCATCAAAACTGTTAAGAGACAACAAAAGGCCATCAAATATGTCAAGAAAAAGGCGGTTATAAGAAACAAAATGTTGGAAATGTCCCTCGTTAGAATATTAAAAAAGTGTCATCATATTTATATAAATTGTCAAAAGCGCGATTGATTGACTCGATTCAAAATTTTTCCCTCTTATTTTTATACCCATCAGCAAAGGATAAGTGGTATATTCATAAAACGTCTGCAACCCCAAGTAGGAAGCATCAGAGACGCCAGTATGTATATATATATTCTTCATCAGCATCAAACTCTAAATCGTTTTAGTCGTGTCCTTCTGTGTAATGTCTATTGTTAACCTTATCCTGCAAAAATGAAGCTATCGACTTCAAATGTGGCAGAAATATTGCAAATTCTCGAGCGTAGGTCAATATTAAAAATGGGAGAAATCGATCGAAGGACAAACCCACAGCCCACGTAAGCTGAGAACATTTGTGTTTTTCAAAAGAAGTGAAAAATTGTTTTTTTTATTAGTCATAAACAACAGCAAGTAAATGTACAAAAATTTGAACGTATATTCCATGGGTGATGCTACGGCATTTTGGCATAAAATGGAAAAAATTAACCACGCCTACCCAATATTATAGTGTAGTCAAATTTAATTGTTTTTTCAATAGCTTTATAATGCACAGAAACATGCTTGAAAACCCCTATAAAGCATATACATCCTTGGCCAGTTTCAAATTTGGTTTACACCTAAACATGTTCGTCTATTGGTATGTTCATAAGCGTCTGTGGACTTTGTGGCACACTTTCTTCCGTTAGCGAAAGTGCAGATATCGACCACAAATTTGCAAAAGAATTCGGAATTGACTTAAGTTTTTCAAAGGACACGCCTACAACGTCCACGTGCCTGTACGACAAAAAATTTTATTTTAAAAGTAGCGCATGAAAATGTTGTTCTTTTACTTCTTTTGCCATTTTTTGGAGTAAACGGCGATGGGTATGAAATTTTCTCACTTGTTTTTAAATAAAAGCGGAGTTTCCTTGTAAAAATAAATCTGAAATGAACTTCGAATTTAGTGGTTTATTAAAAGAACTCATTTCTGTCTAACTGTAAATACCGGACGATATTGGAAGAGATTGAAAAAATACCGTTTTTTATTAGCGTTGTATTCGTGAGCATTGAAGATGCGTTCCATATACATTCTACAGATATTATCTGCATAAACAGCTGTTTCTTATTATTGATAACATAAGATGCCGTTGTTCTGCATTCGGATATTTTTTAATTAATTTTTGTTACTCCTCTTTGGCTTAATGATAAAACGCGTTATGGCGGACATTGATGTAAAAGCCGGTTTGCAACAAATACTTAAACGAATTGATGCCGCTTACGAACAAAGGCCAAAGGTAATGCACATATATTTAATTAATTGGTACACGAAGAGTGATTGCGTTGAATTTAAAGGATTTGGAGGCCGGTAAACCTTTCTTGGTGGCTGTTAGTAAAACAAAACCCATTGAAATGATAATCGATGCTTATTCAGTGGGTCAACGTCATTTTGGCGAAAATTACGTCCAAGAATTGGTTGACAAAAGTCAACATCCAGAAATTTTACAAAAATGCCCTGACATTAAGTGGCACTTTATCGGACATTTGCAAAACAATAAAGTAAATAAGGTAAATAAAATATACGGATTGCAAAACAATAACAAATTAATCTCGTATAAAATTAAAGATTACTGAGGTGTGTACTATTTTGCAAAAACATTCAAAGAAATTTAAAAAGATATGGGATTTAATAATATGTATGTTTATGTGCTTTATCTGTTCTATATCTTAAGCGTATTTCTCATAGATTGGAGACATTTGCCAAAGGTATTTTATTAAAGGGGTATTATTTTAATTAAAGGGATGAACTACCTTTTGCTGCATAGTAGGAAATACACATATTGGTAGGCAATAGAGTGTGTATCCATAAAGTGATTAGAATTTTTTGAACAGGAATGTGGCCAATTTCTAAGTACAACCAAATATTGTAATACGAACTGCTTTGTATCTTTTACTCCCTTTGCCGCTCGCTGTAAATGAGAGAACGAAATTCGGAGCAAACTACCTCAAGCAGTTTTTGTTGAAGGCCTTAGTCGAAGAAGGCCTTAAACGAAGAAAAACCGAAATATCTAAGATTTGAAAGGCGATGACCTTGGCTATTAGTGCTTTAAGTCTAAGAATTTATTTCTCTGGCTAAATTTATTATAATAATAATAATATCAAAGGTATTACTTATAACTCTACCATAATAACTTAAATATATGATTAAAAGATAAATTTCGTCATCTGAACAAAAGAAGCCAATTTCTAAGATGAGCATCATTCAGATATCTGTTGTGATTACGAAAAAAATCTCAATCCAATTATATCATATCACAATAATAGTAAAGTTTACTTCCCTAGAAAAGTTCTAATACTTTCTTGACACCTAATAGTTGGACAAAATTTACAATTAGAATATTCCTATTTGAGGTGTCTAGTCGTATTGACATCTTCAAAGTAATTATCAATAAAATAGTTAAGATTACTAGGTCGACGAGACTCATCCTTTCATCTATTTAATAAAGAAAAGAGGCGATAGTAATACATCCTACTTGTAGTCCTGGAATTTATTCCTTTGTTTTAATTGATCATAATATCAATAGTAAATATAAATAAAAAATCAAAAGCAAACTTTTACGACTGTTTGATGATTCCTTCCCAGCGCAAGAATTTGATCAGAATTTTGGAAAGTTTATAACTTAGAATTAATATACTTTGCATGATAACATAATCAAGCTTTTGTGACACCTTTAAATATATCGATACACAAAACAAAAAGGGCAAATACAACTCCTGTTATTATACATTTCCATACAGATTCTAAAACTACCTAACATTCACTTAATACAAACGGTGGATACCGAAAAGTTGGCTGATAACTTGAATAATTCTTGGAAAAAATTGGAAATTGACAATAAGCAACCACTAAGGGTGTTAATACAAATCAATACTAGTGGCGAGGATGGTAAAATAAATGAATTTTTTGCTTTAAATTATTTAAAAAAATTTTTTTTTATTATTTTTTAGCTAAGAATGGTATAGAACCGAATGAAGCTTCAAGACTTTACAAGCACATTAGAGAGAATCTAACAAATTTGCGAGTGGATGGTGTGATGACAATAGGAGCATTTGGTCATGATTATACGAAAGGACCAAATCCAGATTTTGTATGCTTAATGAAAGTGCATCGACAAATATGCGGAGATTACCAGTTGAAACCGGAAGAAGTGCAAGTGTCGATGGGAATGTCTGATGATTTTGAAAAAGCGGTAAAATTAAAAATTACAAATTTTTCAAAAAACAAAAAAAAGAAGACAAAATAGTTTTTCTTTTCTTTTCTATATTCTCTTGTCTTATTCAGATTGAAGTGGGTAGTACCATAGTGCGTGTGGGCAGTTCTATTTTTGGTCATCGAGCAAAGCAATCTATATAAGTCATATCATATACAAAAGCTTTATAAATAATTACATTGTTTTCTGTGTTATTGTATAAGTAACTTAAGCCTATACGTATGCATTTTTTTTCTGTTTAACACAAGAATCTATCTGGTGCTAAATGACGTACTACATCTGTGTAAAGGGTCTAGAAATTTATAAAATGTAAACAAGTTTTGTATAGAATGTTTGTGTGCATATATATAGTTATAGATAAATAGACATACACATGCATACACACATACGAGGGTATATAAATATAAACACATTTATTTGTAGATTGTTCTCGTTACGCTTACGTCCGAAGGCGTGGGAGTTACATTAGATTCGTCTTTGCGGTTGTAACATGCACAAATATATATTAGAAAGTCGACAATTACAATATTCGTCAACAGAATATGACTTGATTTACTGGACTTTTCAGTATTAATTAGAGAGAGGAAACTTTAGTTTTTCCAAATTATTTTCGTTGACTTGAAAATCACCCCAAGTATATCCAAAAGGCCAACAAAAATCCTAAGAACATTCAAACATGAGCTTTTACTTATTTATAACCAATAGCGGATATCGGCCCAAAAATTTGATGCGAAGATTTGTCCATCTGCGGTATAACCTCTTTAAAAATCTTGCATACCAGTAATGAACGTAAACGCTTTATTATTTCACATTTATTTCAGTTAAAATGTAAATAAGGTTTGTATTTGACATGAACGTAATCTCCTTACTCGTCGCACCACCAATCAAAAAATATTTTAGAACAATTTTGATCGACATCTTGCACTACAACGGGAAGACGCTACCATTGTATGCATTAAGATGTTAAGACAAATGATCCATCTTAAAGATGAATTAGATATAACACAAAAATATCACCTACGTAACTATAAATTAATGATATATAGATCTGCAAAATTTTCCGTGTAAGCAAGTCAACAAAGGAGATGCTAATGCGCTCCTGAGTGAATAAGGCGGAAAAGACATTAAAAACAAAAAAAATCCGGCTGCAAATTATCAACACAATTCCGTTTGCGTGGGTAGTGGCCTCTTCAATGTATTTGGGCTGTGCCCATAGCGAATATCCTTTAAGGGTGGGTCAAAGTTAACATTGTAACATATCACTCAACAGGTTAACAGGGCGACATGCTCCCACTATAGACGATAGTTTTTGCTACTTTTGTAAAACTCTGTCGCATTTCGCTTAAACATTGATTCTATCTAAAAGTCATAAAGATTTGTCAATAATGCCGAGCTTATTCAGTGATTTGTTGTATGTATGTGTAACATTATAAATTAGTCGGTTTTTGGAACGCTTCGGCGCAAAAATAGAGAGATGAATTGATATCTGGCGGTTAGGGTATATGCTCTCGGCTGATTGTGTGATCGTGTGCAATATGATCTGAACCCAACTAAGAGGAACCGAACAGGTAAAAATCGCGACTACTAAGTCATTGTTCGCGGGTGCCAATCTCAGTGCGGTAAAGTTTAATTTGATTGATAGATTGTGGGGGTTACTCAGTTGGTAAAGGCGAAGCACACACCCACTTGATTTTTACCGACTCCCGATCTCTTTCCCTTTCTTCGCTTTTTTCTGATAGTCACCATATAAAACGAGTACGTTATAAGTCTCCTACTTTAATGGTCATATTAAAGAAAAGTATATATATATATATATATCGGTTATAAGCAAAGAACATGTATTAAACCCGAACTAGAAGCAAATATCTATAGAAATGAGCGAAAACTTTTATGCGAGAATGGACGTGCTACATTTGCGAACATGCGAGATTTTAGCGTACAGCCGAAGTAAAAATGAATGTAAATATTATGTAGAACTGTCCATAACGTTGGTTCAGGAAGATTCTAATCACTCAAAACGGACAATTTCCTTAAATGATGGGTATTCAAAGTTCGTTTTAAGACAAATATTAATTTCTTTCTTTTTTTTTACTTGTTTTCGTTTCGAATTATTTAACTGACGAGGTCAAATGCAAAACCCCATTCCCTTCGTTCATTCTGATAAAAGCTGATAAATCACTAAACAGTTTTTTGAATGACTATACGAGAGATATTTTTTCGAAATAAGTTGAAGTAAATATTTTTGGTTACTATTAAATATGTATATCAAGCCTCGCGATGGCGATTAGCCAAACAATTGAAATAAAAAATTTTCTTTACTTTATTTCTATTTACAGAATATACTCAGAATATATATATACTTATACATTAGCCGACACACATTCATGGGATCGAAAGAGAATATAAAAAATTGAAAAAAATTCGATGCTTATGATTATGATTCATGGGGGACGAAACGGCTGTGCGGTTCTATCAATTCAATTTGTTTTCCCCTTCTTTGTATATAAGATTTATTCCTCACCCACATTGTTTAGAAATTTGAAAAAGAAAAAAAAAAGCACAAGAAACATTAATTATTATATTATTCTTGTGTTGCGTTTAATGCCGATTCTTTCTGTTTCATCTCATTTGAATTTTCTAGTTTTGAAATGTATTACGATTTCTTTGGCGATTAGCCAAAGTGTTCTCTATGCAAAACGCAACTATTTCGCAAATTTTCATTATGTCTCTCTTTTTTTTTACGTTTTATTTTCTGTCAGTCTTCAAGTGTAATTTTTGAAATTTTTTCTGCACACAATTTATTTTTTTTTGGTTTCCAAATGTGCAGGAAGTCTTACAGACGCCATATATTTATTGTCTTTCAACATTTTTCGAAATCAATCGGAAAAGAAATAATTTCATGCTTGATTATTATTTACGTTACAAGAGAAATCTATTAAACTTAAATCCTATTTTCAATTTATTTAAGCGAATATATGAGTATATGAATTATATTTTACAAATTTTCTTATTTCAAAATTTTCATATATGATAAAAATTGGTGAAATCCATAGGCGAAATGCCGAAAAAGGATCTGGTTTGGTTGGGGTTCATGAAATACATCGAGCGGAATCACCAGGTATACTAGAACTTATTGCTCTTGCAAAACAGTACTAAGGCATTGCAGATTGGTAATGTAGATAAGCATTAAAAGTCGTTCAATTACATTCGAATACCATTTGAGTTTCATTATCGGTTGCCAAGCTTATGTGTGTTTGCGATGGCTTAGGGGTTCAATCGCAATTTGGTCCTGTACCGGTTGTGGGTGTGGCTCTATGCTAGTTGTGTACATGCTTTTTTTCTTTTTCATTCTTATTTGTTTTATTGCACTTTTCCTAAGTTTTAATATTAATTAATTTAAGATTTACTTTAAGAGTCAATTGAACGACTGTCAAAATTTTTAGTTGAGTTTCTTGTATAAGTGGAATAAATAAATAAATAAATAAAAAAAACTTTATTTTGAACATGCATCCGATACGTCAATTAAGGACAGCATGCCTGGCGTTTTTATGTGCATCATTTAATTTCGTGCGTAAATAGAAATGGCGCCAAATATTTCAATTAACATGTTGTCCATCCTTCGTTACTACTAGCAGTAGTATAGAAATTTCGTGTAGACAGATGGGGATATTTTTTTGGGACAACTCACTAAAAAACTCATTTTTGGGCGTCGTCATAAGAGCATAATCAGAATATGGACATATAGACATGTAGACAATTAAAAAAGATTTTCAATTAAATTGCAATTTTTATCAGTCCACATCCCATCTTCAAGTTGAATTCTACTTCCAATAAGGACTAGTGCTGCAATCGATAATTAGATCAGCGTCTCAAGGGAGGTGAAATTGTATTAGAAAATGAAACCGTTATTCGTATCCGCAGCATAGGAGATGGAAGCGTTATGCGCATTTGTGTTTCGACCAGACTCAAAAATGCCCTTCAACTTGGGATCTGCAACTGAAATTAGCATGCAATTTCTACTTGGATTTAAAACTCTCTTTAAAGCGTTGTACAAAGCCCATTTGAATTCCAATTGGTTGTCAAGCCCGAAATAGCCTAGCAGAGCAAAAGAAATCGTAACTCTAACTAGAATCTCTAAAATTCTGTCAAGTCATCATCATAATTAAATGCAGTAAAAGTTCTTTATTCGCGGGGTATATGTGCCGCGAATACAGAAACCGTGAATACGGAAGGGTAATTGGATATTGGGTTGGATACCTATTCGAATCCTTTTAATATTATGTATGTACTTATTAGATCCGCGAGTGAAGAAATTTATAGCCGCGAATATAGGAATTGGATCGAATTTTTGTAATCCGCGAATAGTGAAAACGCGGATGAAGGAAGCGCGAATAAGAAGCTTCTACTGTACTTTTGCAATTATTTATTGTCAAACAATTTCCTGCAACTCTGTACAGCAATACCCTACATTATCACCGAAACTCGGTACAATTTGATTTGATTGAATCAAATCTGTTTAGCAATTTATTGGACTGTGTCCTTCCGCGCGGCTAACGATAACTTATGGCACAAGTTTATACGAAAATTTTTGCTACAGTTGAATCAGTTGTAAAAATAATCGTATTCGGTAGGCTTAAAGTTGGTAAAATTAGCTGCGTTGCCCCTAAGATGGCGAAATAATATAGGGGGATGTAAACGGCAAACAGTTTCGAGCGTAGGCACTGAACATGGACATTTATGTGCACGTAGACGTCTATAGATATCTGTAGAAATTCATAACTGTCTATAGACTTTCCTTAGTGTTATGTACGTTCGTTTTTTAAGGACGTGGTTCTGCACTGGGATAAAAATCCATTGCGGAGTCGCTTTCGCATTACCTCGAGATGGACTTCCCCGTCGTCGCGTGCAATTAGCTTATAACGCATATCGACTAAGTTTACACAAGAGTATTGACTGCAATCGAACCGGCTGATCGTATTTGAAAATCTTAAAGTTGCTGGAATTAGCTGCGTTGTCCATAAGACGGCGAAATAATATAAGGGGTTATAAAGGTTAAACTAGGTCGAGCTCCGACATTCGACATAGGCGCATAGTTATCTGTAGATATCTGTAGAGATTCATAAATATCTACAGATTTTCCCTGTAAAAATGATTCTACTCGACAGGCTTAAAGTTGCTGGAATTAGCTGCGGTGTCCATTTGACGACGGTAGAAGATAGAGGGATATGAAAAACAAACTGATTGGAGCTTCGACACTAAAAAATGACATATACTGTAAATATCTGTAGACATCTATAGATATCTGTAGAGATTCATAACTATCTGTAGACATATTTTTTTATGGACGTAGTGGTAGCGCGCTGACAACTAGTGGTCCTAAACTGGTGTAAGATTCCGCATTCGTTTTCGTATTGCATCGACATGTATCGCCCCTGTTCTTGCGTGATAAAGGATTTGGATGTCATTTTCGCGTAGCTTTATATCGGGGTATGTCGTGCAAAAAAAACTGACGCTTGTTTCCATTATCTTTTGCCCGTCAGTATAACCGGTAGCAAGCAACATGGGGTTATTTCTACTTTTAGAGACCTGCAAAGTATATTCCTTAAATAGGCCCCACCCGGGTAGACAGGACAGGTGGCATGCGTTACCCACTCGTGGGTCTAAATGGCAGAAATAACTCGAAAAATGTCCATGATCAGGTAAAGCTTGCAATAGGAAAAAATCCATTTCTGCATGTTTTCTCCCCATCCATTGCTCAAGAGAGTGTTAGTTCACTTTTCTTTTGTATCATTTTCACATTATTATTGTCATTGCATTAGCATGCTCGGTCGGACGGGTATTTTAACTTTGCGCATGCATGCTGACACAAAGACATACGATACATGTCTATCAATATATCGTCTGAAATAAGTTCGAATTGCTTCCGCCTTCGAAAAATTAACAAGAAAGTGGAGTTTAAAAACGCCTGGACCGAATATAGGTATAAAATCATTTACGAACTCATTTACTTAAAATTAGCAAAAGATTTTATGTTTCCTTTTTACATCCACCACTCTAAGATGGCGATATACTCATTTTGTTTTATTTCAAAATATATGTAACACCTAAAAGGAAGCTTCAGAGACCCTATGAAGTATATGTATTCTTGATCAGCGTGAAATTCTGAGTTGATTTAGCCATGTCCGTCGGTGTGTGTGTCTGTTTGGACTCTCTCGGCCGCAAAAATGAAGATATCGACTTCAAATTTAATAGAAACTTTGGAAGCTTTTGCACGCAGGATGGTATTGAAAATAGGACAAATTGGTCAGAACAAAAACGCGCAATGGGGCGTAAACTGAACGCAACCCAGTTTTTTTTAACCAAAATTTTCGGAATTTTGCTCATTATTCGGCAATTATTAAAGTTAGAACCATGAACTATGGGTGTCGAATATCTTAAATGTTCTTATGAGCAAAAGTTTTGAAACTTAGCAAAATAGTTGCAAAAAATATAATAAAATTGTGTATGAAAAAGTTCTTAATGATAAATAGTTGTCTTCGGGACGTGTTTTTGCAAAAATTTATAAAGAAGTCTATCATCGCAACCATGCATATTTTTGTAGATTTTCGCGATAATCATGACATCTATCCCGTGGATTTATAAACATATGCATCATCTTGTGAAGAAGCCTTTGATTCGATGCGTAACGATGAGCTGATAAAGACGAATGAATTTTCACATTATTATGTGCGGAATTTTCATAATAGTTTGATGAAAGAAAGAAATGAATACAAACGCAAAATGAAGAAGAACAACGTATACGATGTGTTTGTAGATGTAGAAAAAAAAAAAGAAAAAAAAAAACGAATTAAGTAAGAATGAACATATATCCATAACGTAGAGCAAAGGAATGGAGAAAATTGTGTAAAAACAAATCGAGCGACAACATAAAATGTAGGTGATATTAACAACAACAGCAATAAAGAGGTAATATAAAGAGAGCGAATGTCAAAGGAGAGTGTTTCAAGAAAATTTTCGAATTTTTATATTTAGATTTTTTCGTTTTTTTTTTTTTGGTTGTTGGGGCCTACATATACCTACCAGGTATACCGTGTGTGTACAAGCGCAGGCGAAATATCAAGTTAAGCCGCCTGTACACCGCCTAAGAAAATAGCATGCCTTGCACGAACTAAAAATGGTATCACCGTTATGCTTACAAACAATATCGTCTATGCCTAAGAGACCCTCCCAGCCATAATGCTGCTGTTTAAAAGTCTCTCTCGCTTGCTCTCTCCCTCTCTCTCTCTCTCTCTCTCTCTTTTTATGTGTGCGGTTCTCTACTTATGTATGGTGCATGTGTAAGTAATGTATTGAATATTTTCAAATGTATAGAATTTGGAAATTTTTGTAGATTTTGAAAATTTTTCTTAAAATATCATCATCGCAACGATAAAATCAGCCAGAACACTTAGTGTGCTCTGACCGCTCGATCCGTTTAGACTTACAGCACAGAAAGCTAGCACCATGGTAAGGAAAAACGTCGATAATAACAAATCTATTATAAAAAAAAGAGAAAAAAAAACGCAATATTACTAAAAGGATTACGTCTTCTGAAAAGGTTTCCGTTACATTTACGAAATGAAATTGTTTTAAAATTGTTGTAAAAGAATTTTTCAACAAAAAAAAAAATAAAAGAAAAACTAAAAATTTTTTTATGAAAATGAAAAATTTCTTTAATTCAAAAAACCGTGAAATTGAAAAAAAAAATTCGTATGCATGTATATATATATATATATATATATATATATATATATATGTGTGTGTGTGTGTGTGAATATTTATGAAATTTCTAAAAATACGACAGTAATTTGATATTTTCTCATGTGTAAAAAAGAGCCAACGATATGCAGACATTTAAACGAGGATATTGAGAAAATGTGTGTACCCAGGCGTACGATGAACTTGCGTAATACGAAATCTATAAATAGATCAAGAATTGAAACACTTGAGTAAAAAGAAAATAAAGTGAATTTGGAAAATACCGTTTTCTAGAAGTAATTTAAGTAAAAAAAAAAAAGAAAGTTTTGAAAATTGGATTTTCAAAATTACAAAAACATTTTCACAAATCATTTTTCCATATTATATTGCCTTTAATTTATAGTTCTTCCTCGGTATTGGAGCGCTCACGTACAAACGTATTATGAATAATAAAAAAAAAAAAGAAATAAAGAAAAATCTCACTTTCATT